TCCATTGGGCTTATAAGACAACATAGTGATGAAAGTTATATGAATGGAAGTTGAATCACAATCTGTACTTTAAGTAATCAGTATGACATTAGAAATCCGTTTTAACAGATTAGAGGCTCTCTAATAATAGCTCGCAGGAACGGATGTATCGTGTTCAGAAAATTAAGCTAATCCCTGACATGATCCGCATTATGTCATGCTGACATTAAGACGTTGAATACATGGCAGGAACTCAATGAAACTGACAGGCAGACATCAGGGAAACCGACAGAGAGTCCCTTGCTGGAGCATCTTCATTGATGGATAGATCATTGATAATCTATAGCTAAATATGATTACCATTTTGTTAAGAATATCAAAACTCCAAATGTTATTTTGTGTGCTCATCCTTACGTCATACATCCGACGCACATATGTATTTTGCTCGTTTTGTTACACTATGTCTTCACACAAAACAATTCATATATGTAAATTAATAATTTTATTTTTCATTTTTCATGTAAATAATCAAATAAGTATATTAACTCATTAAGCCCGAGAGACGCTTCACTACCCAACACCTGGAACCCCTCACTGATTGCCCGGCTCGCTGTTGCGAGCTGATTAGTGCTATTCACACTTGATTTCCCTGGCAGGTTTCGGGGATGACAGGAAACTGTCTAGTCGTACAAACACGCCCTGGTTGTTTAATTGTGTCGTAAAGATACATGTTAAAAGAAAGCAGGTGTGAATACATGTCATGTATGGCAACGTTTTATGTAATTTTATTGCAAGTATCTCTTGTAGACCTTTGGCGGCTTGTACATTTATGTTTTATCAACATATGATAGATAGATAGATAGATAGATATTTTTATTTCCTCCATAGTTTGAAGATTACAAATGTATATGTATGTTATACAGTCATATTACTGGCACATGATACAACAGAAATGCTCATGAAATAATCTATACAGGGTGGTAAGGTGAAATACAACAGTTATAAATATTTTTCCATTTACATACAGAATTTGAGACACATATTATAACATTTCCCCACACATCATAGTTTAGCTGGTCCTATACATCTTCCGGTATTCCGCCAAGCAGAAATTTCAGGAATTCATCATCATCATCGTAGGTCCATAATTTTACAAAGATATTGACATCAAGTAAGTCACAAATTTGTTCAAATAAGTCATTTCTTTCAGCAATATTAATCTTACAAGACATAAAAACGTGCTTTAAAATATCGTGCGCCACAGTGCCACACTCACATTCCTTTGACTGAATGGGAACAGTACCCAGATTAATAAGAAAACCAATACGTTTATAGTACCTTGGTCTGTCAAGCGCCAGTTTATGTTTTATCAACATATGTATGTATTCTTTGTATGTAAGAGAAGAAACATACATAAACAAATTCTTTCTCTTATATCATTGTGTGAGGTTTAATTTTACAAAATATCTATGACAATGACATACTGTAATTTACGTACATGCTTTATAATCTTCTACGATATAAGCGCTTTTGCCGATAGATTTCTACGGTATACTGAATATTTCAAGAAAAGTACTATTACGCTAGTCTGTGACTAACAAGGAGCCCATTGATAACTTTGTTTCATCTAGATTTAATGCAAAAACATACGTTATCATACGAACTTACATATAAAAAATGTATAATACAGATTCCTTGTATAGACATAAAACAAAGAGTCACGTGTTAGGGCGTTATCAAATTTCCCCAATAGAACATGCGGTATGTCAATCGCTCAATATAGTGGCTTATCATTTGTTGTCTATGACCAATCGTATCATGAGATACATGTCACAGAGGAAGGGACAGGTGATGGGGCGTAGGCGAAATTTCTGAAGACCACGTTTGGTCACTCAACTAGCTGGATAGAAATTGATTATTGGCTCAAACGATCTTTGAAATATAGACATAAGACAAATAGGAGTAGATAGATCTCAGAGATCGAAAACACATTTTAGTGTTTTTGATAAGTAAAGCAAAGTGATTGAAATCCAACCATTGAGTAGAGATAGTATGTATTTTCATATACATTTTACGCACACAGCCAGTACATAAAACATAATGGTTTGCTGTACATGTAAATATAATCTTCACCTTGATATGAATGAATATCCAAATTAAAGTACACGTATTATGGAATTCAAAAAGTAGTATAATGAAGAAACTTGCAGTTTAATCCCCACAAACATTTATGAAGATGGGCGTGCCTATAGTTATACTGAATGTAAACGAGGTTCATAAGATTACAGATGTGCATGCATGCATAAACATTACAAAGAGGGGCGTGACTCCATAAAGCAGGTTGTCCATTCATATAACATCGCATCTGTTTATTTTACACTTGTCACGGGACACACCTTTCAACAAGGGCGTAACTACACATGCATTCTACCGGAGGCTGTTATTTCAAGGTCGAAAGAGGTCTTCAATTATCTCATTACTGTAACATGATTGATTGTACGCATGTGTATCGATACCGTAACTGATATCCTATCCAGCTTTTATTGACGATGGATCAATAGAGTTCATTGATACAGATATCAAATAGAAATGTTTTACACAATGCTCATGTAAATTGCACAGAAAACTGACAATTCAAATCAACATGAAACTTTTAACAGCTTGAACAAAAATACTTGAAATACCTTTGTATGGTTTACATGTAATAACTTATGATATTACTTCTGTATATGTCTAAGAAGTTTTTGAATTACCAACTTACTGTGTTTTATGACAAACGTAGTAAAAGATTTCACTGTTGTAATAACACATGTTGTAATAACACATGTATTATAGTCGATGCAAAGGCGCGACGTATCACTTTATATTCGATTAGGTATTATGGTATACGATATTGCAATAGCGCACATATCCAGGCAACTAGTGCTTGCTCAAGGCGCTGGTAACATTATCAACTTTAGAGTATGGAAAATAACTACAATTCAGTAAGCTTTAAATTAGTAAGTTAAATCATGACTATCTATTCGAGCTGGAGGTATAATTATTTGTGTTTATACATTATGTTTCATTATATGAAACATGACAACGTAATAATACCTAAAAAGTAAATTCCGAATATACTGTTGTGTTTGAATTTCTTTGTATGTCCTTGAAATTTCGTATATTGTTTCCTATTTATTAGGAAGTTGAAGAAAATATAATCTTCAGTAACCTCGAAACCATTACATCTAATTCAATCAATGTGCATAAGAAGTATTTTATTATCCATTCCTAATGAAGAGTACCAGACACTTACCTCTGTAAAAACATCATAATCCCCTTTCTCGCCGACATGTGTTCATTTGCCAAACGCTGTATAAGCCTATGATAATGATTAGCAATTGCTATCAAAACACTTTAAATACTTCTTCTGATTGACACTAAAGGTAGCATCTGTCGTAATAAAAGCTAATATTTGCTCAGCCCTATTAAATTGGTTGAAATAATAGGTACAGTGCGATTTTAAAAAGTACGACACACATGTGCTTCTCTCGCTGAATAAGAGGTGCTTTCTGTTGACGGAGATATATGTGGCTCTCGCTGTGAGAAACTGCCAATTACCTGCCCCATAAACACGTCACTCGTTGTGAGGAGCTGATAAATTCCCCTATATATGCGTCTCTCGGGCCTCTCACCAGCTCTCTCTCTCTCTCTCTCTCTCTCTCTCTCTCTCTCTCTCTCTCTCTCTCTCTCTCTCTCTCTCTCTCTCTCTCCCCCTCTCTCTCTCTCCCTGATATATGCATACTAAAATGTGCAAACACTGAAACAAATACCTGTATGTATATGAAAGTCCATATCTGGTGTAGATGGCGTGATGTTGCTAAAGGCGGCGTGAAACTAAACTAACTCACTCAAAGACTTCTTACTTTTCATGCAAGGAACAAACACTATCGTGAATGGATTGTGATTGCAGTTGTATCTTGCTCCAGATGCACTACGGACTGACAGGGAGACATACACATACATACATGTACATAGATGTTATAACAGATAAAGAACCAATGCAGTGCGGTTAAGAAATAATATGTTACAAGAAGCATACCATTTCCGTCGTTGATCAAATCAAATCAAATTAGACACTTGTATAGCGCTACATATCCAGAGTCCTGCTCATGTGCGCTTAGTCGAATGCTCGTTTGAAGAGGATGGTTTTGAGACAAGATCGGAACCTGTTGATATTTTCCGATTTTCTGACATTTTCAGGTAATCCATTCCAAAGTACAGCACCCGCTCTGCTAAATGTTCTGTCCCCGTATGTTGTGGTTCGGACAGATGGAACATCTAAGCCTACTAGCTGATCTGAGTGACCTTCCAGGCTTGTGAAGGTTGACTAGTTCCTGGAGATAGAATGGAGCAAGCCCATTAATGGACTCGTAAACAAACACAAGAAGTTTGAATACAACTCTGTCTTTTACAGGGAGCCAGTGTAAGTCCTTCAGGACTGGTGTTATGTGCACATACATATGTGAGCGTGTTATGAGTCTGGCAGCTGTATTTTGAACACGCTGTAACTTGTCCATGTACTTCTGCTGTATTCCATAGAGTAGACTGTTGCAGTAGTCTAGACGTGATGTCACAAATGCATGGGTTAGGCATTTTACTGATGGTGTGTCCATGTACCTGCTAATCTGTCTGATGTTCCTTAGGTGGTAATAAGCAGAATTGCAGATGTTACTGACATGATTTTCCATGCTTAATGTTGAGTCAAAGATGACACCTAGATTTCGAGCATGGCTTTCCGGTTGAACAAACGTGTCTCCAATTTGAACTCCAGGGACCCCAAAACTTAACTGTAGAGTTTCCATGAGAGTGGAATGGTCTATTGTGTCAAATGCTGCTGATAGATCCAAGAGGACAAGAATTGCCGCTCCCTTGGAATCAACAGCATGCAGAAGTTCATTCGGCACACGCAGCAAAGCTGTTTCTGTGCTGTGACCTGTTTTGTATGCTGACTGCATGATATCACCAAGATTGTTGTCCAGGAGGTGGTGTTGTTTCAGTTGGTTTGCTACATCACGCTCTATCAATTTGGAAATGAATGGCAGATTTGAAACGGGACGATAGTTCTTAAAGACATTTGGTTCCAATGTTGGCTTCTTTAAAACAGGTGTTATTAGTGCTTCCTTCAGTGACGATGGTACCTGGCGATGACTTAGTGACTGGTTCACTATTGATGTAATAGTTGGTATGACGGCCTGTGGGCTGTTTTTAATAAGCCGTATTGGACAAGGATCGAGAGAACACGATTTAGTTGGACTTTTTGCAATTAAAATACTGATATCTTTCTCGGTGGTTAGCGCACATTGGTCGCGAGATGTACTCAAGATGTTTCTGATGCTGAGAATCTTGTCCGTGAAGAAACTGACGAAGGAAGAGGCTTGCTTCTCAGTTGATGAATGAGAAGGAAGTGCTCGTTGTTTGTTCTTGAAGAGCACACACTGGTTTCCAACCTGGAAAACTTCTTTTTGATTTTTGCCTCATTCAATTTGGATGTGAAGTAATTGCTCTTTGCATCTTCAATTTGTTTGTTCACTTTGTTGCGTTGTTCAGCATGTATCTGACGATCAATAGTCAGCTGTGTTTTCCTCATTTTCCTCTCCAGTTTCCGTCGCTTTTGCTTGGCTGATCTAATGCCGCCATTGTACCAGGCACTTTGTTTGCGTATGTTACTGTCCTTGTTGTTTGTGGAGCATGCTTATCCAGTATGTCAGTGAGAACTTGGTTGTAGGTGTTAACTGCATCCGGCAATGAGTCTGACGTTACTGAATCGAGTGATGACTTTACATCGGCTGTGAAGGAATCAATATCGATATCCTTCCATTTTCGGCACTTGATTCGAATGGTTGATCGTTGGGGATTTGTGGAGCAGAGTAAACCAACATAGTCGGAATGAACAGAATGGTCATAGATGAAATCATAAGCATTTATTTCTTTGGCCCTTGTAATCAATAAGTCTAAAGTGTGTCCATTCTTGTGAGCTGGGTGGTTGGTTGAAGATTACTAAACAGGTTTGGGCCACACAATACAATGAGCTCATTTTGATTAACAAGCATGGAAACCCATTTAAGAATTTATTTACATGTGTCTCGTCTTCAACACAATTATATTGGCACATAAGACACAGTCTACCTTCAACTGTGAGATTTTCATATCGTCCAGTTCCAAGTCGGACTGGTGCTACCACACATCTAAATTTTACAAAAGCACTTCTGTAGTTTCCAGGCATAATCGAGATTACAGATTGTTCAGTACAATACTCCCTTTGAAAAGTCTTAAATTTTTCTCAGTTTTCCACTGATACCGCTTATTCTGTGGTTCCATGCTGCCTTGTGATTTTCTATTAGAGTGTCTTTTATTTTTTTTACATTATCTTGAATTACATAGTCAATGTTACACTCACAGTTGCATTCTCTGAATAACTTGTGAACTTTATAATTCCTGTTCTTGTACGCTGGTGAGTAACGTTTGTCTGCCCACGTGAAAATGTTTCTGTTTAAACGCGATTTGTTCATCAACACACACCTCTGCAACGCCGAACAGATGCAACCTTCTGTTCTATACTGACGGGTACCCATCCAAGGTCACCAACTACAGCATCTGTAGGGATATATCTTCCGACTCCGATGACGTATCTGCAGGCACGGCTGTGAACTCCGCTTATACATGAGTAGTCTTTTAAACCCCATATGGACGCGCAGTGGGTAATCACATAGCACAAGGTTGTCATATAGCTTTTTGAACACATTAAAATCCACATCACCAAGTAGTTTTCCCTTTGCTATAACCAGACCTAGTGCCCTCCTTGTGGTAATGAATTTGTTCCGATCTGGATGCCGTGAACTAATTAATTGAGGCTTGATCTCCTGCCATAATAAAGAAAAACATAAATCCAACAAAAGCCAAGTGCTCTATAGTCTTACCTATCAACACCCTCGGGTGAAATGACACCTCATTGGCGATGTTTTTCGGTCGGGGATTGATTTCGCCTGTCGCTCTTTATAGTTTGAATAACAATATTTTCCTGTCAAGTAGAATTTTGGTCAAGCATTTGTGATTAAGGATGACCTAAAGTATTAAAATCTACCAAGCTGCAAATTTATTTTAGCTGCCATTGAACGTTTAAGCTTGAATACTTATAAATTACAAGGAACGAATTGTGTCTGTAAAATGTTTTAAAATGTAAAAAGTATATGGAATTTTCTTGTTTATCTATTTTTCACGAGGTGTTTGTTGTACGTTATCTATACGTGGTATTAACTGAACTATGTTATATTTTGACAGTCACACGGTGTAACTTGGTCGGTGTACATTACTTTTATGTTGTACGTTGTATGAATGTAAATATAGTTTGTGTACCTCTTATGCTGCAGTTTGCAGCATGAGTGAATAAAGTTCAGTTCAGTTCAGTCTGGGTCCTCCAGGGCATCACTGTCATCACATGTAAGTGTGATTGACACATGTCGCTTCTCGTAAATGGTTATTGAGTGTGACAGACTTCTTTACCTCAGTTTAGTGGGCACGGCGTTTTTGTTCTTTTCACGAAATCCTGCCGTTTGCTTGTAGTACAAATAACGTTTGTTGTTTGTGTTTACTGACTACCTGCAGATGCGGTCTGACAACAAGCGTTCGCACCTTTCTCTCAGTTGCCATTTCGGTGATATTGAAACTGTTTATATTTGTTGATTCACCTTCAAATTACATTTGTGGTGAAAAATATCGTCAAACCCGTGAACTCGGCAGATTAAACACTCGATATTTTTACTTTACACTGAGTTCAACACGTGAAATGTCCCACAAATATGTGCAACTGACAAAGCAACACAGTTATGTTGCTATTGATGGCATCATATTAGTTATGTATTCAGTATGGTCCCATATAAGTTATGTATTTCTCATGTACATGTTGTCACCTGAGTGTTTTAAGTGGTCATCTATTCGTGAACACCTTGTATAACATATCGCATTTCCACATACATTGCATTGTATACATTGCAATACATATCTTGGAGCTTGAAATGAACGAGCAAGCCTTCGTAGTATTTATTTGAAACATCATGAATGAACCTAGTATTAGGCTGAGACTGAAAGTAAACTCTTACAGTTACATACGTCGCACTTATTACAATAAAGAAGTTGACTATCCATAGAACTTGGTTTCCCACATACATGTTATTTCTTCCAAATGGTATTTCGATGGTTGAACCTTGCTTGTTTCACTCGCTGCTGTACAAGCGGATGCTGGCTCTTTTGTCACAGTATGTGTTCACAGGTAACAATCTACATATACGTGTGAGTATTCATTTTATTTTACATTCAAATAAATACATAAATAAATAATTTATTCACAACAAGATGCTTCATTCGCGCCAGCTCTCTCTTCAATAAGCCAGTCCTGACAAAAGGTTAAAACATATACATGTAGTTGATGACAAATGAAAATATCTAACTTGAAAATGTTCTCGCAATGACTTGCGCATCATGTAACATAGAATGACAATAAATCATTGTATATCAGAGTTCCATGCCATCTGAAACTATTCAAAAACAAAAACACATCGACTTCAACACACTGCTCACAAAAGTGCATGAAAATAACATTGGAACAAAATTTGGTTTAACAACTGTGAAGGTGCACATAAGGCTTCATTTGTTATACATCAAAGTTACTTACATCGTATCAAATATTAACGTTACAACCTGGGCAAGTATCATAAGAAGTTACATCACGATCCATCATGCCTGAGATGATATTTTTGCCATATTTGAACAACTATGTGAACAAAATAGTTCATATGTTTTTATCCGGTTACTTCGTGATCAGTGTTACGTAGTAGACACGCACGTGGTAATTATCATAAGAGGAAACTTCATAAAATAACTTACCTCAGATCAAGTCGTAATCTTCCAATCTTGCAAGTGTGGCGAGTCGGTTGTAGATGTTCTGTGACCAGCGTCCTCCACGTCCACCACGTCGACCACCACCCAGCATGTACATAGGGAAATCGTATTCTGGGAGGTCAGGCATTTCAATCTCGTAGTCATAGCGAATGTATGGGGATCTGTTCCTGTAACTCTGGAATCTATAGGCGCTCGAGACGGCAACAGTGACGACAAGGAGGATGAAGATGTGTTTCAGATGCATGGCTGTAATCCTTGACTAGAATATGAGAATAAAACCATTAATCAGTTCAACATATCATCAGTCAAAATAACCGTTGAAATAATATGCAGCTTTACAATATATGTTTTTGTGATGCAGTTATCATTTACATTTACTAAACATTCATTATTTGCATTAACTATGTTTTACACCAAAACATTGAAATGATACCATACATTACCATACGATAATACGAGTTTGTTGAGATTCAGAAAACATTTCTGTTAATATCAGTTACCTAGCCAATCCGTCCTCGCGAAACACAATGTTATGAGAAGGTATATTAGCAATGTTTTTGACTCATTAAGTCTACAGTTAGACACTAACGTCTGAATGTAAAATATACAATACAACGGAGTGGGCAATGGTGATTTAAAGCGACGGAATTCAATGTGCAGAATTGCGGCATTAGACTTGCCAAAACAAATGTTCATCGGTTCGTTGCCTTATTTCGTCCTCTTGTTTTATCTGTTTACCCATAAGCTTCAATAAATTACAATGAAGTAAACGTCTAAGATCTGAATCACTTCAGTCGCACGTCACTCAATGAGATATACATTGTATTTGAAAAAAGATGAAACTATGTTTTTACCTCATGCAGAAGATTTGTTTTCATATTGTTGTTACTATTAGAAGTAGCAGTTGTATGAATTACACTATAGATGAAAAATAACGCATTTTGATAAACTGAAATCGGTATTTTACCTTACCTTTGGCTTTGACTGTTCAATGAAGACCGGCAGATGAAGATGTTTGACATCGGAGTTGAGTCCCCTTTTATACGTGTCTATAGATGGTGTGATATCTATGCGATCATTAATCATGTTTGTCACACATACATATATGACAATAACGCCATATTATTAAATGTCGCCTTGGGTAATCCCCGAAAAATAGTGTGTAATATGGCCCATTTCCTGGTACATGTAAGCACGAGCTATGTTATCAGCTCGTTCGTTGACGGAGGTACATAATTCTTTACTTTTAGGGTCTTTAAGATAGGACAGTTAAATTTTAATTCTGTGCTGATCTGAAATGAAAGGCTACTTTCGTTTGAATTTTGTTAATTATACATCTAATTGTATGGTCTGTCAGATGATGACTGATGGATTGATGATACAATAATGAGAAACATGACTACAGATGAAGACACAACTTTTACAGATCCCAAGTTTGTTTGTTTGATGTTTAACGCAGTCCCAGCATTTTCTAGCTATAATCGTTTTCTTTAGGCATTAACGTTGCCATTGT